ATGTATCTCCTGCCATTTATAAATAGATAGTTCTTCAGAAATGTAAATGTTCATCTTGAAACTGATGTACATATTTCTAAGGCATTTTCCTCTGTATTCAGCTGTATATATGTGTGAAGTCTGCTTGCTATGTAATATTCTGTTATGCATGGAGCTGAGATAGGCATTATATTTGTCCAGTGTTTCAAGAGCCTTAAGCATGTGTGCCCTAACTTTTGAATGTACAAGATTTTTTTTCTTTTATTGACAAGTGAATTTCAAAGACCACAACAAAAGCCTAATTTTCTATGTCTGCTAATTTTCTGATACTAGTCTTCACTAGCTTGTTACACTTAACATAAATTTATTATTTTCTCTTTGCTCAGAAATTGCAGTATTGCAACCTAGAAAGGGAGCAATATGCCTGTCTACACATAGGGGCAGCTTGCTACCCTTCCACTCAGTAGTATTTGTGCCACATGCAGTACTGTTAACAAACAAGTGTTTGCATTAGGCTTCCTTTAATCAAAGAAATATTCATGCTACTTAAAGGTCATTTTGTTTCACTGGGCATGGGACAACTGACAACTAGGTTGAGACGTGCTGGCTTCTAGTCACTTCAAAAGTGTGATTATAATCACATTTTGATTCCAGAACGTACATGAACAAAGCACATTGATTGAAGAAGCTAGGGGGGAAAGCTCCTCTCTTTTGGGAGTTTTTCACAAAAGCATTTTTTTGCTAAAAGGCTGAGAGCATTTAAACAGAAGTCTCAAGGTTCATTTTCCATCTTTCCTAATAATAATGTAAAGTATCAATTTTGATTCTTTATTGGGATTTTTTTTGTCTTTATAATGTAGATGGCAATGGCAATTTGTAAATGAAGAGTGTAATTAATTAGAAAAGCTTGTCAACAGTAACCGAACATTACATGTAACATTATATATGGCTGTACTTATGTATTTATTTGTCTAAATTGTATATATTGTTTTATCTATAGTGTCTGTAGGAGTGCATTCTTTTAAAGTATTATTTACAGTTTTGTGGGATTGCCAGCAAAGCTGCTAATCAAGATACTATTTTTTTGTATCAATGTCAAATAATAAAAAAAATTCAAGAACAAAAATCAAATGAAAAACCGAAGGTGTCCTGTAAATTTTCTTCTTCACTTCTTTCTAGAAATTTAAAGGGTATTATCTGAAAACACAGTACCAGGGTATAGGCTGTTTTCATTAAGGAGAATATTGTGCTGCAAAGGCAGATTTGTAAAAAAAATAGTTGGAAAAAATGCAGCAATCTTGCAAATCATAGAGAGATGCTTTCAAACAACTAAGAGTTTCACACACAGTAAAACCCCCTCCAATCACTTTCATTCTTCTCTCATTTTCACCGTGGCAGCCCGAGTCTAATTGCAACACTTACATGGTGTTTAATTAATATACAGCTTGGAGATATACAGATATTAGCACTAGTAGGGTGAATTTCATGTAGCTTGATTATCTTAATTACAAGCATTCTATTTTCTCATTTACTTAATTAATTGTCATAGATTTCCAAAGAAATTTACCCTGTCCTAAGTGAAAACAGTACGTAAAAAAACCCAAAATAACCCAACAACAAAAAATACCAACTTGAAGCCATTGAAGCTGGACCATTCAAGCAGCAATATGCCACAAAAGGAGATCTGTGTGACAGGAAACATTCTACAGAATAGTATCTACTTTTCTTTTGTTAAAAATGGGAATTTATTAAATGGAAGAAGAGTCATCTGAAGGAAAGAAAAAATATTCCTTATTGATTCAGCTGCACCTGTAATAGAGTTGTCTCAAGTATCTTCTCTGATGACATGCCTAACGCAGGAAAAAAGGATCCATTTTTCTTCTAGGTCTGAGAGTTGGCTGACTCTACATTATATCTCTGCCTCACCTGAAAGAGCTAAGGAGAGCAAGAAGCAATTCATTTGTCATGTGAGATTTATGCTTGAGCATTTATTCTGCAAAGGCAGTGGTACATATCAAGTTGTGCAGAATTATGTGCAATTGATTTGCAACTTTTATTTGGGAGAAGCGAGTATCCCAAACTTGAGGCATGCTGGGTAACACCTACCAGTCCTGCAGCTAAATCAAGACTAATTCCAATCCGTGCATCCCTTTTCCTTTAGGAGTGCCTTTCTCTGGCTTATTTTCTAGCATGACCTCTTTCCTCAAAGTGAAAGCAGACCTCTTGGGCAACTTAGAATAGCAGTAAAAGGAAGCGGAAAACTGAGAGCTCCCTACAGTAGCATTTGGGAAGTGCTGGCAGACCAGAGTACGGAATCGCTTAGCACAACAGCCATTCTCTTTTGGCAATAAAGATAGCGGCCATGTAAGTGACATAAGCCACAACTAGCGCCTGAACTCATCCATCTTGATACACCAGCCATTAGACTCTAAGTACATTGTGCACAGATCATGCATTGATTCCTGCTTAGCCTAAGACATTTATATGAATATCTTTGAAAAGTTGTGCCAAAGTGTAGAAAGAGCAGAAACATAAAACATTCTGAAACAGTCTAAATTTGATTATTTATTCAACTTCATTAAAATCCCTCCTCAAAAAGAATCTTCTATTTCAAGAAGTTTCA